GGGAACCTGGGATGGGAGGCTTCTGAAAACTGGTCATGTATCAGAGGAGGTGGTGCTTAGCTCTTTTTCTGAGATCTCGCAATTTAACAGCATTTTGCCTATCTGACTTCATAGTGTTGAGGTGTGTTTGCTCAGTAATTTATTATAGTCTGTTCAAATGCTTTGTTCTGTAGTATCAGCTCCACTGGATATATTCCAGTGCATATTACATGGCCAGTAAGGATGTGCACAGGTAAGGTAGCATAGGGACAATCAGGAATTGGTATGCAAGGAGGAATGATATTGTAATAAGGTTCATCATTATTAGTGCCCCTTTAATGGGCTACTCCTTCTTAGTCAGAGACTGCAGTGCAGGCTATTTAGGACATTTTAAGATGCTCGGGCTTTTAACATCATTGATTTTTTCCATCAGTGATGCTATTGTTGTCATTCTTCATCTAGAAAACCTGTGTATATGGAGGTAAGATCCAACATATTTCACTCAAACTGCATCTGCACCTATTCATGATTTTACTTGACATTGTTACCTGATGCTTAGTTTTAACAGGTCATTTTTTTTCTTAAAAAAAAGCTAAAAGCTTTGTTTTCTGGTTTCCTTTGGAAATGTACATAATCTGAAAGTAATTAGTGGACATTCAAAGAAGCCGTGTAAAAGAAAGGAAGGATAAGAAAATTGTTTTATTCTTCAGGAGTTATTTCTGTGTATTCACACCACTTGCTTATTTCCCCCTCTGTCTGGGAGGCCAAGAGACTGTGACAGACCTGAGAGAAGTACCTGAGACCTGCCAAGGAGTTGTGTGATTTTGCATGCTGCTAAGCAGCATCATGGTCCAGTGTCGGGACCTTCAGGCAGTGCCCAAAGAATGACAGTGGCTAGCAGAGAACCGTCTTTATTTTCTGCAACTTTATAGGCTGGTTTGATTGGTTTGTGGTAGCCTGTCATGAGAAGGTATTATGATTCTAAAGTGTTTGCTACGTCCAACTCGCCTGACTGGCTTTTAATGTCAATTGCAGTTATATAGTATTTTAACACAAATCCTGCAGACCTGATACTTGCATAAATAAGGCCCTTTATTACAGGGTGTCCTGGTTTTAGCTGGGACAGAGTTAGCTCTTCTTTTTAGCAGCCAGAAGAGCTCTGTGTTTTGGTTTTAGTCTGAGACTTGCTCTGAGAAGAATGTTGACAGCGCACTGATGTTTAAAGTTGGCATAGTTGGCACTGAGGTCTCAAGGACTTTTCAGCTTGTGTGTTCTTGCCAGTGTGCAGGAGCACAACAGGATAAGGGGGGGAGCATGGCCGGGACAAGGGGTCCATGACTCTCCTTACGATTTGTACTTGAACATAAGATTGAGGGCCAAACTGGCCAGTTAGTATTCCATATCATGCAGCGTCATGCCCAGTGTAAGAGTGAGGATCAGCCGGAAAGAAGGGCTTTTGCCCTTCCAGGACTCTCACTTTCGGACTCTCAGAGTGTTTTCTCTCTCTCTTGCTCTCTGTCTTGGGGCCTCCCGTTCATCCGGGATTGCAGTATCGGGATTTATCTGTTTCGGGATCATTAGTTCGTGATGAGATGGGCGTCAGTCAAGGGTTGGTGAGCAATTACACTGTACATCACTCGTTTGCATATGTTTATCCTTGTGCATATCCGTACATATATATATTTATTGGTAGCGGAAGTAGTAAATTGTTCTTATCTCAACCCTCGAGTCTCTTTTCTTTTTCCTCTTTGATTCTCTCCCTCATCCCCTGGGGGTGGGGGGGGGGGAGAGAGGGACTGTGTAGGGTATAGTTGCCGGAGCGGCCTAACCCATGACACAGGGTTTTCTAGGGAATCCAAGTCTTGCACACCGTTCTGAAACCAACACTTTCTACAGTCTTTGTATTTTAATGACGTGTTCTAGACGTTTGTTTGTAAAGAACATACAGCCTAGATGCTAAATACGCTACTGCTAGTTGGTCAGAAATTTTATTCTAAAGCATAGCTTAAGCCATTGAAAAATCTGTGGTAATTAACTGAATATTTCCTTTCTGTTTAGTTTTAAAAGGTCAGCCCTTCTTTGTGCCCGTTTTCAGATCTTTCCAACATTATTCCTTAATTTCCTAAGTAGTGTGCCAAATACCTGGAAATAGAATTTCCAGATCTGCATCTTTTGGATGTCGAGTGTGAGTGTACAGTAGTGATAAGTTAATAAACATAAGCCATTCATATTCTGCAGGGCAGATATTGGTAGGTCATTAGTAAGCTGCAAGTGGTTGTGTGTGCGTGAGTACTTTCACAGAAGATTGTAAGCCTTTATAGGTGATGCAGCCTTATGCCCCACAGAAATGTATTGCAGGAAGGAAGACTGCTAGAAATTAAAAGTAATTGAGGTTCCAATACATGACAACAATAACAGTTTGGCTTCCATTTTTGTGATGATCTCCTGCTTGTAAATTGCCAGAAGCAATATTCTTTACTTGCTTATTCCAACTGAAGGATTTGCAAAGGTAACTAATTTCATCCTCTGAGTCACTTCTTAGAAATCCCTTTTTCTTTTCCCTTCCAAAAAGGTAACCTGAATTCTTCTAATTTGTCATGGTGGTTATTTTGGGGGTTGGGTAAAATCATAAGCATTACCAGCAGAATTGTGAGCATTCCTTTCTGTACTGTTTGTAACAGAATCCTGTTTTGAAGCTTGATGTAGTTGTGAAAGAATATTATAGTCTGCTGAAATTATCTTTAAAGTGTTTGGAAAATGCTGATAAATTGCATAAATTACTTCCTTTATGCTATATGTGTATCCTTGTGCATGTATGAAGATGTTAATACACATAATAGAAGAAAGAAAAAGTGTGCAAGTTACATTCACATTTGTATATATATAGACAGATGGAATATTTTTTAAAATCCAGTTAAGACTGGTCTAATTGACACATATTTGTATATCATGAAGTTTCTAGCATCCTTGCCCTCAACATACCTTTGTTATTTTAACAAGTTGTTATACTTGTATAAATGAAGACTAAACACTATACAGTTTTAATTTACCTTCAGATGAAACAATGACATTGTGACATATCCAGAGAATTGCTTTCTGAATTTTGGTCAGGTTTTGGGGGTTTTTTTGGTTTGGGTTTTTTTGAGGGTTTAATGCCTACCATGCAATGACAAAGGTTTATTCTCCCTTTGTTCTTTTCAGAGTGCTGCAGCAGCTCCCAGTCCAGTGCTAGGAAACATTCCCCCAGGAGATGGCATGCCAGTAGGTCCTGTACCACCCGGGTTTTTTCAGGTATTCAGAAAAATTATGATTACAGGAATTTTAGGATAGAAAATCCTCCATAATACTGTTTACAAGTCTGTAGAAAAGGTCCTGTTCTAAACTATGTCTCACTGTATGGTGCAATACTTGAGAGTTTATTTTTTAACAAAAATGAATAGGTGGAAAGGAAAGGATCTCTCTGACTGACGAGTATTTCATTTATGGAAACAGCTCAACTAATTTCAAAATTTCAAGGATAAGTAATGGTGCCAGTTTATGAGGGGATACAGAAAATGCTTGAATATAATTTTTAAAGAATTTCGTATGATGATATACATACATTGCATGGAAACTTTAAAGTAAGAACGCTTTTGGTCATGTTTAGCTCTGTGGTTAAGCCACAGGCCAGATTTTTAAGATGTTTAAGTTTCAGTGGGAATTAGACCTAGGCAATTACGAATATCCCACTGAGCAGCTCCTTGCACATTGAAGATCTCAACTGTAATGCCTAAAAAAAACAAGCCAAGGATTTAGACTGTGTCTTGCTGCAATTGAGTTTTGTCATAAATGAAACTAAATACCCAGTTAGCACTTTGGACATTAACGGTACAGAATACCGCGATGGAAAGTATAGCAGCTTTTAGTGCAAGGCCAACCTGACAGTTGTAATCTGAGATTAGGCTGCTCCTATGAGCCATCTTACATCTCCTCTTCACCAAAGCTCGATTGTTTTTCTCTACACTGGCAAACTGTGGCTATGCAGCAGGAGCAAAAAGTAGCAGCGTTTCTAGCATTGAAAAGACTCTTTAGGAGGAGCAGAGATTTCTACTTCACATGCTCTATTTCGTGATGTTAAAGAAACAACACAGATTTCCGGGACTGTGATGTGGAAAGAACATCACGATGGGATGTTCCATAAAAACCAAGTGCCGAAATGCAGGTAGAGACCAGTGTCTTTTTCGTTCTTCCGTGAGATACATAGACAAAAGAAGCATATTTTGCTTGGGAAAAAAGAAGAAAAGTTTTATTTATTTTTTTTTTTCAAATGGTGATTTTGCAAAAATGGCAGTCTTTGTTTACACTGTGTGTAAATGACAACGCTATTTGGATTGTCTTCCTTTTCCCACAGTCACAGAGGAAAAAAACTGCTCTCTGCAGTATTGATACCTACAAAAAGAAACCCTGAACCTGGCATAAGCATGTTGTTCCCTTCATCAACTCAGAAACTGAGGTGTTCATTTAAGAAATGAGTGAAAAGATATTTGCAAATGAAGTAGAAAATACCTTACTGTTGCCAGCCACAAAATTCTCAGGAGTTGGCAGAGCTTATTAATTACTTTATTTCTTCTTTTACTGTTTTGAACAGCGGGTTAGGTAGATTTTTTTTAAACACACCTAATTTTAAATTTTATCTTAGTTTTTATATTGTATAAATATTTTACTTTTTCTTATTTTAGCCACCCACTCCAGTTATAATGTCAAACGAATTAAAATTTCAAGTCTTTTTCTTTTTCTGTCTTTGAGGACAATTAAGAGGGAGAAGAGGCATAGATAGGATAAGTATGTGAAGTATAGAGGAAAGAGTAACTATTTTAAAGGTTTTGCAGGAGGAGGTTGTGGGAGTCTTGTTTTTAGAGGCGTGAAAAGACTTCTAGCCACTCTAGATCTTTGAAGATGTAAGAAAGACAAGATGACAGAAAGTTAAGTGTGGGTAAACTTTCCTCGTCTGTCAGTATCTGACTTCAGTCTTACTTGAAGCCCCACCAACAGCCTGCTTTTTTTGCAAGGCCTGAGACTGAAAATAAACAGAAAAATCCATTTTCAGTGTAACACAATTTGTGACATTAATCAGAACTATCATCAACTCAACAGCACGGTCAATGAGTCGCCTGCGAGGCAGATTTCAAGAGCTGGTCTGCGCAGTCTGCTCGGGGCTCTTCCAGACATCACCCTTCACCTCTCCTTGAAACTGCTGGGTCTGTGCCATTGTGTCTCTCTGTAACTTGCAATACTCAAGATTAGTCGCTTGCAGTTTTAGTTGATAGAGATCTACTTTCCTCGGTTGAATCACCTTGTCAACAGAACAAACATTTTTCAAGAGATTATTAATTTTTGCTGCAGTCATCTGCTATAGAACATATATAAAGAAATAACATGTTAGTTAGCAAATCCGACTGCAAGTTCGATAGTGGATACGTTGACATGGTTGGGAGCAGTCCCAGCAAGGGTACCTGAGCCAAAATCCAGTCAGTTACATAACAGTCTGCTGAAACTGTAAGGTGTGTATAAAGCAGTATGTACAGACAATCCATGATGATGTATTGTGGTGTTGGAGTGAGTGTTGTCAAGAAGCAATTAATATCTGGTTGTAATACCTTCAGACGGAGCTAAATCTTAACCAATGTCAATTAATCTGAGGACAAGAAAATATATTGGCTGACGTAGCTGTGTATGTGAACCTTGAAAACTGAGGAACGTCATCTGCTGCCATAAACAGGTGAAATGACAAGCAAGAAGGAGAAACTTGTGATCAGAGCTTCCTACTTCCTTCATAGGTGCTTTCTTTCTAGTATACCTTTAACTAGACAGTCAGTTTCTGTACATTCTTCTGCAATTCCTCTGATCCCAACTGATCCTAAGAATAAAGCAGATCACAGAATACATGTTCATCTATCTTGATCTGAATACTGACAGACTTCAGCCTTTCTATGAACTGCTGGTTTTCTTCCACTGAGAGTTTGGAATTCAGATCTGCACCTCATTCTAGATTAAGAAAGTGGACAATTTTGGGTTTTAAGAGTCAGAAAATTATAGAAACAGTGGGAGAATGGTGCTTATATTTATACTTAGTTCACTAAGTCTTTGCACTACAAAGACATCGTAACATTTCAACTTTTTGCAACCTAAAATTTATCTAGAAGGTCATCCTGGAGTGATAAGGATGCCTTTTGTTGCTTTCATGTAATGTTTGGATTGGCCTAAGCTAAAGCTGTTGACAGCCACTCAAAATCACTAAACGATTTAAGGTAATTTCATTTCTCATCAGTGGTTTTGCACTGCAACTCTGTTTCAGCATGTGGCTCTAACAACTAACTGGGACATAAGTAAAATGGATGCTCTTGCTGCTGCAGTTGCTTCTTACCAGACAGGTCAAGGGAGGGGTGGCAACCTAGGTGGGGACTGTGCTGGAAACCAAGAAACATTACCTGGGTTCCAGTTTTACTGGCACCGCTGATCACTAGCATTATTTCTGTGGCCTTTATTTTTTTATTAAAAAAATAAATATTGTTGTATTTTTTATAAAAGAAAATAATGCACTAGACTAGCACAGCACATGAAGCTAAATAAATACGGCAGAAGTATGGTTTCTCAGTATCTAGTAAACTCTGCTCTTCATAAAATGAAGTTTTCACTGAGGTGTTGGCCACTAGCACTGATGTTAATTAGCATTCTCTGGCATTTTATGCCTGGTCCACAGAGATGGAGTTCTCAGGCCAGCAGTGGAATTTTTCTTGTATCTCTTTGTGCTTGTGGTTTTATACTTCAATTCAGATGATAGATGATGATCACTACAGTGCTGATATCCGAAGTGCAGCCTTACAATGATATAGGGAAAGGAAGGTGGTTGAGTTGTGCACAACTATTATCATAAACTAAATTACTGGGTTTTTTTAAAAAAATAGTTGTTTACAATGTCAAAAATGAAATTTGAAATGTCAAGAAAGCAGGTTTATGTGGAATTAGGATGTGTCTCAATTTCATCTGCTGGTGTGTATATATTTTAATGTAACTCTAAATTTGATAGCTACGTATTTTTTGTCCTCATCTTCTTTCGGCACGTAGAATAGTAACTCATTAGCACGTAAGTTGGGCTAATACAGTAACTCATTCTGCTCTTGGTTCATTAGCAGCAAAACCAAATGTGTGGGACTTAGAGGAGGAGCAAAGACAATAGTTCTGTCATACAAGACTCTCAAACTCCAAACAGGAGAACCCAAACAAGTTTTAGAGTTGATTTTGTCTCAGGCTGAAATAACAGGTCAAGTGCAGTTCAATGAGGGTGATGCCTTCTGGGTCAGTGCTTCTGGTAAGTTGCCTTCTTAAATATGGAGCCTCAGAGAAAGATAATGGTTGTGAATCAGCGTGCAAGCCTGGATGCTAAAAAATGATGTGCAATTAATCTCTAAGTTACCCATGTTTCTCCTGGGCAATCCAAGATAAGTCATTTCAATTCTCTTTCTTCATGTTTCTCCACCTTTAAAACAAAATGTCATTAAGTGATGATCCTTTTAAAAGATTATGAATTACTTGGGCAATAGAAGTCGTATTGGATTGCATAAAGTTGAGCTAGCTGTATGCCTTTCTGAAATGCTCATCTAACTCCAGTCTGAGTCTTGAAATACATCCTTAGTTTGCCAGTTTTCCTCTCTAGACTACATCCTGTACATGGAGCTAAAGTGTGAGGAAGGCACATAACTACTATGTTAATAAAGTCATTTAGGACATGTTCTGTGCCATTTTTTAGCATCAGAGTTACTCTGTTGTTAGTGTCTTTGTATGGAATCCACAGAGATCAGCATGACCTGGTCTTCATCCCTCTTTTTGGAGTCCTATGTGATGGACTCCTTTAGTCCTACTGAAATAGTAGAGCAACTGGAGGACTGAATAAGATTATAATAGTTGTTTACTTTCGGGTCTAGATGTTAGAGGATGCATATAATGTCAGCAGGCAAAACTTTACACAAGGTTTTACTAAACTTATTATGGTGAGTTAAATTCATAGATCATAGAATCCTAGAATGGTTAGGGTTGGAAGGGACCTCAAAAATCATCTAGTTCCAGCAACCTCCCTGCCACGGGCAGGGAAACCCTCCACTACACCAGGTTGCCCAAAGCCTCATCCAACCTGGCCTTCAACACTTCCAGGGATGGGGCATCTACAACTTCTCTGGGCAACCTGTTCCAGTGCCTCACCACCCTCTGAGTGAAAAATTTTTTCCTTATATCTAATCTAAATCTCCCCTCTTTCA